CCCCCCATTTACATTAATTCTTATGGGGAAATTGGATTCGCTTAACATCGTTTCGCTTAAAGTAGCATTTTTCAAGAACATAACTACAATGTTAGGTGAGGAGTTACTGTACCAGTATATGTACCAGATCACTGAACACCATAGTAGGAAACATGATCACAAAACGCCTCAGCAGTAAACATGCTAATGCAACCCAAAATGTATTTGTGAACAGGAAATTATATACAGCAGCAGTAAAGCCAGATAGGTAGGTAGTATTTTAGGTTTTTATTTCCATTCACTGTGTTGTAGCGAGCTGAAGGCACAATCCCCTCTTTGTGACCCCGCATAGCTGTTGTTCCTGTCTCTTCTGATCAGCTGTTACAAGTCACATGCAAACTGCCACAGAACCTTTGGACTACCACAACAGTCCATCTGATTCTCAAAGGGCCTAGTGACGACTGAACCTGGGGATATGCTAAGCAAAAAGAGCCCTCAACCATGCATGTAGTTGTTTCCATCACTTCATACTGACTCAACAGACATTCCAGGTGTCCGAATGACACACCGACTGAGGGACAATCCTGGGAGATTTGTGTTGATTTGTGCGGGTGGTAAATGAGAGGCATTTGCTGCATGATGGGCTATGCATATTTGGGGTGATTGTGTGTGTTGGTTGTGTTATGGTGTGGGTGGTTTTGAAGAACTGTAGCAGCTGGGCTAAGTAATCAATCATCTGTGCAGTCTCCCTCATACGACTGATGAAACTGTTGCATACCAACTGGCTGTAGAGTAAGGTGATTGGTTGAGTTACCTCTGCTATCACAATGGGCTAGGGCTCTGGGATGGCATAGATGCATACCTTACGGTAGCTGCTGTACATTGCATGGGTATAATTCATTACGTCAAAATGCCTGAGAATTTAAATATTTGACTGTAACTGAATGAAAAATACAGTGATGATTTAACCTGGTGCTATTGTGGACAAAATGAGCCTCAACTATGCTTGTAGCTGCTTCTGTTGCTTCACACTGACTGTACAGACATAATAGGCTTCCAGTGATACACAGAGTGAGATTCCTGGACTCTTATTATATAGATGATACAAAACACTTCCAGATACCCTGTACAAGCTACAAAATGGTGGTCAAGGTTTTTTGGTTTTGTTTTTAAATATGAAGCAGGCACAGCATATACTTTTGCCCAGTCAAGGGTCACCTTGGCAATTTGCTAGGAGCCCAAGGGACTCATCAAATTTATATAAATTGACCAGATTGCAGCCACACTCATCTGCAGTGCATAATTGGCCCAGGATACCATACACTGCTCTGATGCAAACAGGGGCCATTCAGATCAAAATAGAACATGGCACATGGAAGCTTGCAGTCTCCCTAGACTGCACCCTTATTACGAAGATAAGGGAAGCTATACGCCATATTGTAGAACTGAAGGGGCTGCACTTCTGCCTCTGGTTATAAGAAGTTCAGCAAATAGCCCTTACAATTCGATTTACTCTTCTCTTTCTCTCCTCCTATAGAAGTAACAAACCTGCAATTTGTTTTCAATACAGGTTTCCTATTCATCTCTACCATGCATGACAGCAGAGGGGTACTTTATCAATACAGTTGTTATTATTATATCTTGTGTATTTTCAGTGAGCATGGGTCAGCTCATCCCATTAATATAGAAGTATTTGTAAAGTCAGACATCAGTGTAGAGAGCAGATGTTCTAGATTCCTTCTCACACCCTAAATGCAAGTAAGAAATTCACTGCTCTATCACAAAATGGGCTTAATCTGCAGCAAGGGAGATTTAGGTTAGATATTAGGAAAAACTTTGTAACTATAAGGGTAGTTACGCTGTTGAATGGTCTTCCAAGGGAGGTTGTGGAGTCCCCATCATTGGAAGCTTTTAAAAACAAGTTGGACAAACACCTGTCAGGGAGGGTCTAGGTTTACTTGGTCCTCCCACAGTACAGGGGACTGGACTTGATGACTTTTCGAGGTCTTTCCCAGCCCTACATTTCTATGGTTCAGTGAAAAGTACAAGAAACCACTCGCCATTTTGGAAGATTAAGAAGCAACCTGGACACCTATAACCAGATGTAAAAACTCCTGTGAACAGTTAAAAAGCCCACTGGTGCTCGTATAACCAGATAAGAAACCTCTTGCATCCAATAAATTAAGAAGCCACCCTAGCTGTAGGGACTGCCTTTCTGTAAGCAAGTAAGAAGCCGCCCATTCCCTTTATAAGCAGTTAAGAAGTCGGATACCCCATAAGCAGGATAAAACCTCCTTCTGTCTCATAAGTAAGAACTCCTTCATTACCTTCCCCCTTAAGCAGATGTAATGCCCCCTTCAGAGACGGGATGGAGTGTTGGGGTCAGAAAGTGCCATTGCAGTTGGAGAGGTATTTAATAACAGTAGAGATGGAGTGTTGGGATCAGAAGGTTCAGTGACAGTTGGACCCGGGCAGATGGACTGTCATCTGAATGTTGCGCTTCTGAAGTCCTGTCCCAAGAGGCAGGAGGAATCTGATTGTCATGGACAATATTAGGAAATTCCATTCAGGCAATGTGATTGTAGATGGGCCAAGAGGAAATTTTAAGAGGCTCCTGTTTCTGTTGGGAAACAATAGCCGCGGTGGAGTCTCCATCACAGACAACTTTTAAATCACAATTGGATGTTTTCTAAAAGATCTACTCTACGAATTATTTTGGGGAAGTTCTATGGCCTGTACTATACAGGAGGTCCGACTAGATTATTACAATGTCCCTTCCAGCGGGGGAAGCTATAAATGGCACGCCAGATAGTTTTCCCCCATATGGAGCACTCTTCTCTGATGAGAAACAACAGTAACCACTAGAAGCTGACAGTGGATACCAAAAGTTGGAAGTGGAAGACAGGGGTGGATCACTGCATAATTGCCCCATTCTGTACACTCCCTCAAAAGCTCTGGTATGGGCCACTGTAGGTGACAGGATACAGAGCAAGATGGACCATGGTCTGACCCAGTATGGCCACTTTTATGGTCTGGATTGCAGGAAGTCCTGATGGTGAATGGAAGTGATTCCCACTGTTTCTCTTGACAAGCAATAGTTGTGGCTACAGGGACAAGAGCTTCGTGGTGGTGGTGCTGGTGGTATTGTGTGTGTATATGGGGGGAAACTGGTTGTCAGGGGAACAGTACTGATTCCTGGGTATTTCACTGTAATGGAAATATAGAGAAAAAAGTATAAAAGAGAAAAAATATTTAGTGATGGCAAATGGCAGACAAGTGACCACTAAACATGAGGGACCAATACAGAGAAATTAGGCTTTTCCAGATGCAAATCATTTTGCCAAAAACCAAAGGGAGACAAGAATGTGTCATTAATTTATTGTCAAAACATGTATAGAGAGCATTTTATCGGTGGCAAAAGTAATGAATGGGATGCTGGTTTCAAAGAAATACAAGCAATAGAAAACAACCTCACCTCACATACAAAGGGGGCAATATGTTCCCAAGAACATCTCTACTAGCATGTGCTTTCCTTTCAGCTGTTCAGCACTACTGCACAGCTACTTTGAATCAATTAGTGTGATTTATTTACAGCAACTCAACTCCATAGCAAGAGTAAAATGACTGCCCCACTGGGTAACTGATTTTTAAGGTGGAGTATAAGGAAATACGGGGAATAATGAGACAGGCAAATCATTATACAAACAGAAAATCGTTTAGTGACTCCTAGAATATGTTTCAGAGTAACAGCCGTGTTAGTCTGTATTCGCAAAAAGAAAAGGAGTACTTGTGGCACCTTGTAAGGAGAGTGGTCACTTTGGATAAGCTATTACCAGCAGGAGAGTGAGTTTGTGTGTGGTTTTTGGAAAAAGGGGGGGGGGGTGAGAAAACCTGGATTTGTACTGGAAATGGCCCACCTTGATTATCATACACATTGTATAGAGAGTGGTCACTTTGGATGTGCTATTACCAGCAGGAGAGTGAGTTTGTGGGGGCGGGGGGAGGGTGAGAAAACCTAGATTTGTGCTGGAAATGGCCCAACTTGATTATCATACACATTGTAAGGAGAGTGATCACTTTAGATAAGCTATTACCAGCAGGAGAGTGGGGTGGGAGGAGGTATTGTTTCATGGTCTCTGTGTATATAATGTCTTCTGCAGTTTCCACAGTACGCAGCCAATGAAGTGAGCTGTAGCTCACGAAAGCTCATGCTCAAACAAATTGGTTAGTCTCTAAGGTGCCACAAGTCCTCCTTTTCTTTTTTCTAGAATATGTTGTTATGCATAAGGATCAGATTCTCTTAAGACACATGCTTACCAGACACACACAAACGGAGCAAAAGGCGGCGAACACTCAGTCTATACAACGATTGCCTCTCTGATCCGGCCAAGGTTGGCATTTAGTCGAGTAACCAGCGCCTGGGGTTCGTAGCGGGGCCACCCGGGAGTGGTATTTAGCACTCACCCCCACCCACGAGGTAGGGCGGCTTTAGATGCATTGTGGTACTTCACAAAGATAGGAAGCCCCGCCCGCTCTAGAAACCAGCTACGACCCCTCCTTGCTCCTAATGACCAGGCCGTGCCCCTTACCCCCTTTCTTGTTATCCCCATAAGTGTGTTAAGATTTCCCCCTAATCAAATTAGGATCCCTAAGCGGTGTTTCTGCCCCGCCCCCGCCCCTCCGGCAAGTGGAAATCCCCCTGGGCTTCGTCCCCCCATAAGCAAATGGCCCCGCTGCCCTGTTCCCCGCCCAGCAGTCAGAGCGCCTCCGCCCGGTTTCTCCCCCCACCCCCACATGCGGAGTCCAGGGGAGGATCCGGCGTGGGGAAGCCTCACACAGCACCGAGCTGACAGAGACGGGGAAGATTTCCCCCCTCCGCGTCAGCACTTCCTGCTCCCCCGCCTCCGCGTCAGTGGTACAGCCCCCTGGTTCCTTAGACACCGCCCCGCTCCCACCTCTCCGCCGCCCGTGGTGGTAGAGTCTGATTTAGCTCAGCTGCATCCGCCTCCTTCCCCTTCCGCCGCAGTGGTATCGCCCGGCAGCAGACGCAGGAAGCAGTAGTAGCTGCCGCCCAAGCCTCCCCCGTGTCCCCGGCACAGTGGTAGAGGCCGGTTTCGCTTGTCGCCAGCCCCCGCCGCCTCAGTCGGACCTAGCCGCTGTTGCCGTGGGCGCCTCGTCCCTATCTCCCTCTTCGGGCTCGTGTATGAGTGATTTATAATCCTGAGCCCGCCATGTCAACTCCGGCCCGGAGGCGCCTTATGCGGGACTTCAAGAGGTAACGAGCCCGCTGGCTAAGGGGCCCGCGCCTCTACCGGGAAAGGAGGGGGTAGCCTAACATGGCGGCGGAATAGGGAGCGCTACGCTGATTGCGTAACGCAGGGCCACGCTGTCCGGGTGCGGGTTACGCGGTTTGCTCATGACAGTGGAGGTACCCGCTGGGTTACGGTACTTGCGCAGCTCACCGGGGAGGGGGAGGGGAGTTACTCGCTAGCTGCGCTACTTGCGCCCTTCGCGGAGGGGAGGGCTACGCTGACGGAGGGAGGGGGGGCCGTGGGCGGGGTCAGTGACGGGGTGTCCCATGGGTGGTCTGTGTCTCTGCCCCGCAGGTTGCAGGAGGATCCCCCGGCCGGGGTGAGCGGGGCCCCTTCCGAGAACAACATCATGGTGTGGAACGCGGTCATCTTCGGGTGAGGCCGGAGCCGGGCGGGGCGGGGCGGGGCGGGGCAAGGGGGGTCGAGCCGGTGTAGGAGAGACTCGCACACTCGGGGAGGAAACGGGGGTGGGTGGGGCCGAGCCAGCGTCGGGGAGACGGGGCCCGCATGCCCGACAGCTTTCCCAGATTTTCCCCATAGCCCTGGCCCGTGCCGGGCGGTGGCCGCCAAAAGGGGGTTTTGCGCCGTGCGAATGTCAGGGCAGCCTCCGTGCATAGCCATGGGATCTGTTACCTAGAGGAGCGCCCTCCACTTTGTGAATGTTACGTTGGGGCCTTTGATACACTCCCCAATAGCCTTAAGAAAAGGGAGACCTCGTCCTACACACGTGCCCCCTCCCCCATTCTGGGCTATGAACTCTTTGGGAATACAAATTAGGAGGGTCCAGGTCCACTTCTCTCCCTAGGATTGAAAAACCTTGCACCCATGCATATCATCCCTTCCCCCCCACCCCCCCTTACAGATTTAGAAGCAGGGCACCAACTGGGGCATTTTTGTGTAAGTCTGTGAAAAACTTTAAAGCCTGTTTCTGTGGTGGGGAGGGACCAAAAGGGTGTATGGTGTAATAGCTGTTTTTATTTATTTTCCAGGCCTGAGGGGACCCCTTTTGAAGATGGTAAGTACAGTTAAAATCCTCTCCTTGTCCTTATCTGTTTGTGTGTAAAGAATTAAACTGAGAAAGCTTCACATAATCTTAAAATGTTACTCTCCTGGGTCCTTGCAACAGGTTTAGACGAGATATTTTGCTCTCCTCATGAGAATTCTGTACAGGTCAGGAGAACATACCATTAGTTGAGATTCACCTGGCAAATTCGAGAGCAGAACTTTGATATTTAGTTTAGTTTCATCCCTGACCCTTGGAACATTCCCTCCTTCCCTTTTCCAAAAAAGTGTTAACTTTTTTGTAAATTTAGAATCTGGTTACTATCTCACTGCACAAAAACAAATGCAGATCAGCTTGCAGTCGTCAGCTGTGTTTTGTCCTTTGTCTAGTTAAAGCACTTTTAGAATCTCTTGGCATTTCTATCATAACCCTGGGTTATTTTTTTCAAGTGATTTTCATGCTTGAAATGTAAATGGTCAACCTAGGTATTTGTGTGCAACAGAAAAGGGTGCATATTGGATGTCATTCTAAGCTTCTAGAGTGTTACACAAGTTTGAATTTTCCTATGTCAGGACAATGTTTCACTGGATCGTCTATCACAGTACCTTTAATACAGGAAGTGATCTTTAAAATCCCATGATATGCAAAAGCTAGGCTCTCTTAATAAATGGCTACTCTGCCCTTCACTTTAAATTTCCTTGCTTTAGTCAACTTAAAAGGACACCAACTTGAAATTTAGTCAGTTTATAGAGTTAAAGGTAAGTTTATTATTTGCACCTACTCCTAAGATCCTATGCCAATTTCTTTGGCTTTATTTTCTCTCAAAATGTTTTCACTTCACTGATGCTGTATGAAAGAGCAGCACACATAGTGGAAATTCACTAGACATGAAATGCTGTCAAATATTCAAAGCAAATGAACTGAAAATGGTGAAACACTCTATAAAAGTACCATCAGTGCAAGACTCTAATTATTCTTGGTTCTCATGCTGAAAGCCTATGGCAAACTCTAGCTCTTAATGCTTCTGACCCTCTGAGGACACCTTGCAGGCTGAGTTGATGCTTTACCTTACTGAGCATGCTTTAACTTCCAGTACCTCAAAACCCAAGAGTATTTCAGCCGCTTCATTTTCATCCTTGATCTGTCAAGAAGCTCATCACAGGAGCTGCCTCAGTTCTAATTAATGCAGCTCCAGCTTATATTGTGCCTTAGTCTGGAGCCTGGGTATCCTTTTTTTTTTCTGAAGTGCTTGGTGCTAGGTATTTCCTCTCAATTTATGAAACTGTATAAGGCAAGATACTCCCTTTTGTCTCCTTGGCCTTGATACGCTAATGTTACCAGAACTGCTCAGAGGCCCAGGTTCTTGGTGCACTGCCTTTACTGGAATGGGTTAATACCTGGGGGTGTGTCTCCTCTGTATCTCCTGCAGATTGAAACATTGGAGTCTCCTTCTCCTATGTCTATGGCTCAGTGTTAGGGTAACTGAGAAGTTTAGTTACTAAGGACTTCTGACATCAGTACTCCAACTGGTATGTTGAAGGTGGTAGAACAGCTTTTTGGAAGTATTAGCATGTTAATGTCACCTGTGGCTTTCAGTATTGGTATTGTGCTTCGATCTAGACCTGGGGCTGAATGGGTTCTGGTATTACTTGGGACTGGTGCTCATTCACTGTGTGTGCTTTTAAGTGTCATGCTGATATCCAAGCACTCTGGGAGCTTTAGCAGAGCATATAGTCTTGGTGCCTGCTGGATTGTTCCTTGGAAGGTACTCTGGCACTGGTGCCCACTGGGATTCCCATCTCATACTTGAGGGAGGAGAAACAGCATCTTTGCTAATTTTTCCCGACCACAGCCTATGGGAGTTCTTTTAAATTTAATATCTTGGACAGACCAGAATATATTTACTTCCTACAGCACGGCATATCAGGACCAACACTTCTAGGTGGTGAGATCTCCAGGTACTACTAGGGTAGCTTAGTGGTGCCTTTAACTTGTGCTCTGCCTCTCACTAAGGTTAGCGTAGTGGTGTTTAGTTTCTTACACCCATTCTGGCTTAGTAAGACCTGACTCTAAAACGCTTTCTTCAGTAATACTGGACTGTTAATGGTCTGGCAGCTCATTGCAGCATCTCTTTTTACCAGCAGCAGATGGCGACACTTAGGCATCAAACCAGTCTGAACCTTTTTGTCTTGGTTGATCTTGTGATGCCTCATTAGGAATGCATTATTCCCGGAGGACAGCTGTCTCTCACTTGCTTTATCCAGAATGCTGTGCTTAATACATTAAAGTACCACAGGAGACCAGGGTGAAATACTACTTCCACTGAAGTCAGTGGAAGTTTTGCTGTTGACTTCAGTGAAAGCAGGATTTTACTATCCATAAGGGGAAAGCAGTGGGGGCATAGTTTGTGTTCTCAGCACAAGCTATAATCACTGGTCTGGGTTTCCTGTTTCCAGGACTGTGCCTACTCCCACACCTACAAACATTTGTTCCCTTTTCTGACAAGCAAAGGGAGATAGATTCTCACAATTGGTCTCTGGGTCATGGAGTACATGTAGATTAGAACTTTCTCCAGTGGGGGACACTAATGGTGGATCTCTTTTTCACCTAAACTACAGACTCTGGTAATGGTAGGGGGAAAAAACTGCTTGAGCCAGAGACATCTCAGTTTGCGAGGGAGGGAAGTGTTTAACTTTGTGCTGGAATCTTTCAGCAAAAATCTTGGCCATGCTAAGGAGAGACCAATGGTTCATCTTGTACTGGTTCAGATGGGTGCAGTTCTTAACTGTACTACAGATACCATCAGTCTGAGTCTGGCCAGGAGTGATCACTCAGAACCAGGCCACCTCACTCTGTTCAAACTTAAGCTGCTCCCCCTGAATTTTTGTGTCCTGTCTAGAGGAAGCTTTATAGGCATGTGGTGTCCAATTAAATGACTTTCAAGAAGCCAGGACTGCCTATTTGTAAACTGACAAGATTTCAAGTGTGAAAGCAGGCCCTTGTAGACTAGTTTACTTAACATAAGAGGTACCTGACTCCCTTCTTTGCCTGTCCTGAGTAATGTAATAACTCTTCAGGTTTGTCTGGCAGCTGTTCAGCTATTCATGAACTAGTCAAAGGTATATCCATGTCTCAACAGCCTTCTTCTCTGAGATCATGCAGGGGTTGGTATTTTTAAATCCCATATTAAAAAAACCTGAGTGTCTGGGACTAATGTGGCTGCGACCAAGATGATGCATTTCTTTTGGGTCACTCACTATTTGTAAGCCCACGATTTTTTCGTGGCAATCACTTCCCGGTGACAGTGTTAGCTGGCAGAGTAAGAGATTTGGGGTTTAGTGACTAACTGTAGAATTTGGTACATGATGGATTAAATTGGTGCTATGAGAATCTCAGATCTCATCCAACATGGTGAGAGTTCCATTTATGGGATCTGTTCTGCCTGCATCCTTTCTGTGTTTGTGTACCTCTGAGGCCCTTCTCTGGATGCCCAACTTCAAAGGTCCTTGGTGGCTTACGTGAGGTGCACTGAACCTTATAGGTCCATCCAGTTTTTTGTTCCGTTGCCATGTGAGGTAATACTTCTAATACGAAAACCATGTTTTACTGGTGGTCTGCACTGCTCATTATTGTGGCTGACTTAGCAACCCTGAACTTGGAAGTCATGTCAAAGTAGTCTCATCCTAGGCAATGCACCATCCATTGCTTACCTCAGAAGATTAAGTTGTTGGCCCTTGAAAGAAGACAATGCATCTGCCTTACCATATGTTTATAAGACTGTTGCATGAGTTACTTACAAATTTTTTTTTCTTTCCCCTTATTATTGCGTATGGTCTGCAAAACCACGCTTATTTAGTTCATGTAGCCTTTAAATATGAGTGACTTGCAGTTTGATTCATTAAAACTTCGGAGTGGTAATGTGTCTTTAGTGAGGCCAAACAATGAGACTTCTGTGAGAGGCTGTGAAAATCTTTTCAAGTAGAACCATGGATAAATGAGTGCACTGAGGCCCACAATAACTGAATAAATGCATTTTGACTTACAACAGGACTGTTTGAGTAACTAAACTCACTACGTTAAGCAGGACATCAGGGTGCCTTTTTTCCTCAACAGCCTGGCAGTAGGATCTGTTTAAAATGGGGTTTGATATTGTTTGTTCTTGGCTGATTGGCTTCTCCACTCTCTCCTCTTAACATTCTAGCCACTGTTCTAGAATAATTCTAGTCATGTCTTACAGATGTATTTTGAGAACCCCTTGATGTTTGTCATAGGCACACCATTTGTGGTAGCTTGTGCTCAGTTTTCAGCCAGATGCTTATCCACTTTGTGATCTGTTTGCTGCCCAAACTGTCTGTAAGAAGCATTGCTTGTGGTAAAGTCTGGCAATCCAGCTTGATTTGCCTTCCTAAACCTCAAATCCAAGAGCATGAGGAATGGAACTCCACTAAAAAGCATTGTGTGTTGATGTTGCCATTTAACAAGGTCTATCTTCTGCTTGTGGACACAAATAAGACTTAATTCCTTTCCTTACGTAGCATGAGCAATACATCTATACAGGGTTATGTTGAAATTGATTCCCTAATGGCGCATCCATTTCCAAGTTGATCTCTTACCCGCCTCCCTAATTTTGTGTAGTACAGACTAGATTCCCAGTAATTGTAAAAATGTATATGTAATTCCATAAATTAAAAATACATAATACAATATAAACAGGCATATCATATTAACATTATCTGAGCTTCAGTGTCTTCATAAATGGCATTGGAATCATAATGATGCTTCCTTTTTATAGCCAGCTTGTGTACTGAAAGTGCAGTATTAGGAAATTAGACTCTCCATCACTGCATTTGAAGGCTTTCAGGTTTCTGTGCACTTGCCATCTGCATATTAGAAATACAATTATTACTGCTGTTCTGGAGTTGCTGTTTGTTCAGCTGTTGCTGAACAAACTACAGGCATCCTACCATGCTAGTCCTGCTGACCTTCGACAGAAGGGAAAGGAGCTGACAAATAAAAGTACTCCTTGGCTGTCCCTTGATGCTTTCCACTAGGGAAGGCTTGAAGATTTCTAGAACAGCTAATGTTTGGCTAAAACCACTCTTTCCACTTAACAAATACCATTTAAATGCGTACAATTAATATTAACAATAACTAGTATTAACGTATACTCAGTGTAGAGACATGAATTCTTATATTCAAGATATCTGATTTTTTTTTTTTTTTAGCTCTAAACTAAGCTGTCACTGGTCTGGGAAGAAGGTGCACTACAAGAAAAGTAAAACTGCAGTGTTTCCCTTAATCATGGCAACTGGTTGTATATGCTAACCTGACACTGATAGATGGTACAAGGATATATCTCAGTTACAGGAGACTTCAGTTGTAAAGAGGATATTTTTTAGCTTCATATGTTGTTTTGTGGCTGTTTAACCTCTTTGTGTATACTACAAAATGTCTGGCTTTTTTTATTTGGTGGCTCGAGGATAGTACTGTAAAAAGGTTCAGTGTATTCACTTCCAAGTGATGGGTGTTTCTAGAGTTCATCATTCACTCACTCCTATTTGAATTTTTGCTAGCACTCACAATATGTGGGACTCTGCTTGTCTGCAGCTAAGTTGACTGACTTGTTTCCCCACATCCTCATAGCTTTAGGAGAAGGACAAAAATAGCCTGTATCAGCAGAACCTACCTTAAGGTTGTTGGGCTCAAAGGATTTAACCATCTCAATTCTTGTCTCATGTTAACGTTTCTTAAGGGGCACAAGTTTTGGTAGTCTCAAGCCATACAGAGTTGCTCTGATTGCACCAAATGGCTGGCAGATAATTGATCCTCCCAAAACTTCTTTGTATTGGCTCCTCAAGGCAGATTATCATGGATTCAGCAAATGGACAATGTTGCAGAAAGGTTCCACACAACTTGATGTACAAGGGAAGTCACGTGCATTAGGCTCCTAGAAATGTGATCTCTTAAAAATACTATTACAAGCATCAAACTTCAAAACAAAAATAAGTCCAGTTATGTATTGTTGGGAATGGAACATTAGGAATCTGCTTTGCAGGGAAGAGCAATATTCTGGACTTGCAGAACGACTATTTTCTATGCTTCTGGATGTTTAAGAGTTATTCTAAAGAGAACGAGATCTTTGGCAGGATACTGAGGACAGACTGACTTCCTCATCTAAAATTTCTGAATAGTCTGAGTAGGACAGTTCTGCATAAGAGAATGGTGAATATTATTCTTTTATTTGGAGAGGCTGCTCAAAATATGAGGCATTGTCTAGGATTTAGAGCAGAGGAATGGTGGAGCTGAACAGCTTGAATTCTATTTCCAACTTTGTGTGTGACGTTAGGATAATGCATTGGACCTCTCTATGCTCCATCTATAAATGGAGGATACTTGCCCATCCCTTGTGAAGCATATGGATGTCCTTGAACAAAGTTATTTATAATTTTCTCTTTCAACTCCAGGAACTTTCAAACTTACAATAGAATTCACAGAAGAATATCCAAATAAGCCACCTACTGTTAGATTTGTCTCTAAAATGTTTCATCCAAATGGTAAGTACCCATATAAGATGCAATCATTCTGTGGTTTGTGGCTTATTACAGCACAATAAAAGTTAGAGTAAAAAAAATGCTTGCTGATTAGACAGTGTAATCTTTTTATAAACATCTTTGTTTTTATGTAACAAGTGAACTAGCTCTCAGCCTGATACAGGAGGGAGCAGGGATTGGACATTGCTCAAGTAGCACTCAGACTCTAGGGCAGGGGGAGAACTCCTTTGATTCACAACTCTTATGGAGCAGTGTTATGTGAATCCCTTAGGCTCCCATTTTATTTGGCTACTTTATTTCTGGCTAAACATCTGTTTGTTTGCTCAGAGAATTCCTCTGGGTCAGAGGACAAAGAGGCCTTCCACACTGAGAGGTGGGGAGGGAAAGAAATCATGTTCATTTACACAAAGTCTCGTTAATTCAGTTAACCAGAAAGAGTGGAATCTTGCGTGAACGTTGTCCTTGTTTTAAAAACACAAACGCTTGAGGTTACAGCATTCCATTTTATGACTTTGCTACATAGAGTTCCCTTTAAAAAAAAAAAACAAAACACTCAAGTGGGATCCTCTTTGTCCTTATGTGGCCTCATGCAAAATAATCTTTGTAAATACATGTTGACATTTACAGGTATAACAGTACTCTTAAAGTTTACATTCGTCACGTTTAAGCTGAATTTGACCTTTTCTGTGAAACCTGCATCTCTCAACAGCTCTGTCTATGCTTCAGTACCATGGTGGTTTATAATATCAGCTGCAGTGTTCTTACAGAGTGTCTCGCTCATACTCACTGCATTCAGAAATGTGGCTTGTACAATCAAAGCTAGCTAGATTGTTTTCTCTGTTTCGGTGGCTGCCTTCAGGAGTGGATATTTCAATTCAATGTCAGATTGCATTCCTTAATCTTGGATACTATGCTTGCTTCCAGCTGTAGCTGTTGACTAACAATATGGCATTGTGGCCTGCATAACTCTCTTAATTCCAAAGGCTTTTCATTAAACATTTGCTGGGACCTGAATAAAAATAGAACTGCCATAGAACTTTCATGTTTAGTTGCTAACCAGGTATGGATCAAATGCACTATTAATTGGGGGAGAGGGTTCCTTAAATTAGTGAGTGGAAAGACCACCTTAAACAATTTCTTGCTTCTGTTCCTTGTTTAGTTACTATAGTCACCTGCATGAAAACAGTTGTTTCTTCAAAGTAAACTTGTTTCTGCTACTTAATCCTTGCTTGAAGTAGCATGATAGAGACCTCTTCATAGCCCTTAACTGTGAGGTCACAAGGGAGCAAGTTGGGTGTGTGTGCTTTTATTTTAAATAAGCAGTCTAAAAACATTACTTAATTTCTAGGTAACTCTCCTTAGCAACAAAGTCTGACTTTTTTTTTCAAGAGATCGGGGTCATTTTTCTGTTAAATTTCATCAACTTTTAAGGCTTGTGACATACATTAGAACAAGTTAATGAGTTTCATTATTTAGGCTTCTGAAGATTGAGTAATGTTGGCAAAAATTTGGTGTGGCACTTCTGTGTTTGTTTTTTTTGAACCCTATCCTCAATCTTATCACATCTTACATTGTTATACAACCATTCTTTTTAACCCCTCCTCTAGTCTATGCAGATGGTAGTATATGTCTGGATATTCTTCAGAATCGTTGGAGTCCAACCTATGATGTGTCCTCCATCTTAACATCCATACAGGTAAAATGACTTTCCAGTATTTATTGTAATCCTATACTTGCATGTAAAGTTGCTATGACACATCTCAGTTAATGACAAAAATCTAGTTCTGAGCAAGTTTCCACCACAAATTACCACCATTCTGCTTTGTTTACCTTAAGAACAAGCAATGGACTTAAACATTGTAATGCAGGGGTAGGCAATAGGCAGAGCATGGGCCAAATCTGGACCACCAGATGCTTTTGAATGGACAGACATCTTTTTTATTTACTTATCAGTATTGTTGTTTTTTCCCTGAGTCTGGACCTTGACCTACAATAATTGATTACCCCTGCTAATGATTCTAATCAATTACAGGGAGTTTTTTGGTAGAGGGCAGGTGGGGAGAGTTAAGTACCCAATGACAAAGTTATGTTAATCAGGTCTTATACTACGTCCTTGGTTATTTTGATTTAACTGGGGAACGTAAAACCAGGAGAGAAATCTTTTAGCCTTTAGAACCTATAATGGGAATATTGTTATGGTAACAGAACACTGGTTACATATTTCAAACTTCTCATGTGAAAGATGAGGGTTTAGTATCTGTGATAATAGCAAATAACCCAGAATACACTGCAATATCTTGTGGTTACACCGCTTGACCATGTGACACACTTTTTTGAACTAATTACTGGAAATAAGTTTTCAAGTGTTATACCTATGAAACTGACAGGATTTTTTTTTGTTTTTTTAAGTCTCTGTTGGATGAGCCGAATCCCAACAGTCCAGCAAACAGTCAGGCAGCTCAACTATACCAAGAGAATAAGCGGGAATATGAAAAACGGGTTTCTGCAATAGTAGAACAGAGTTGGCGTGATTGTTGACCCTGGATGATGCAAATGAACACTCTGGTGATGAGGAAAATATATATGAAGTGTCTGAGTCATCTTCCTCCTAGCATCATTGCATTTACTTTGAACGCAAACTAGCTGTTGTGCTGTTGCCACTCTCCCTTGCTGAAGCTTCCCTTCCTTGGACATCAGAAAGCACCCATTTTGAAGTCAAATGTACTGTACTTGGGTTACTTGCAAAAGAATTACTGATGCTGAATTCATTTTTCTGTGGTCCCCCTTCTCCAGTCTTAGGGCAGTATTGTGCATTTCTGTAGTGTACACTAAGCTTTTAATTGTAATTGTGTTATACACAGTGATGCTTATGTGTAGCTTGATAAAAGGGATGTTTATATACGTATATACATTTTTTTAACTGATATTACTAGAGTGCTGATCTGTCCAGGCTGGTCACTTACCTCGACTGTTGGTTTTAGACCCCACTGCATTTGTAAGTACTGCAGGAAGAATTAACTTTTTTCTTTTCCCTGGTCTTATTGGGTTGTCAACTGTTTAGAAATACAAAACATAACTGATTGATGGCAGTCCAACTAATCAGATAGTGAAAATGGAGGATACTGGCTGCTTCTGCACTTAAGGTATGATTACTGTTATGGTACTTAAGGTGACATGCAAAGTACCTCCTTTTAATTTACAAAAATGGGTTTTAAAGGATATGCCTATGAGGATATTGATGAAATAGGTTACTTTAGTCCTCTCAGTAAGGTACTGACTGGACATACCCATGTTGAGCTGTTGTACTTAAGTTCAAAATCTTGCTAACTTTACTATTTTGAGTTAAAAAATTGAGGTAGGAAAAAACAAAGCTTCAGAGGTGGGATCACATTCATTAGCACTTGATTCCCTCTATCTAACTGTAATAGTTAAAACATTGCCAGAATGCAACTCTGGTGTGGAAAGTGAATTAAGAATTGTAAGATGGGGCACTTGAGGCTGTGCAGTTCCTGCTCTTTGTAAATTACTGGTGAGGTGCATGTGTGCGCAACAGCTACATGCTTATTAGTTTCCACCCAATTCAATGAAAATATCTTTCCCTGTTTGAAAAGGTATGAGTTTGAATTTACAATCTTTTGCAAGTTTGTATATTTTGGAGGCAGTACTTTTTTTAAACAGCAGTGTGAGATGAGACCTATAACTGTGTTGTCCACTGTCCCCATAACTCATGTGCACATTGGTCTGTTGAAAGTATAACTTTGCATAAGTAACCCATGTAAGAAACTGTACATTTTTCAAAACTTGTAAATAAAAGTGTAACCTTATATCCTTATTGTATAAAGAGGCAAGAGATCTATTTGACCAGGGTAGTAGAAGCTAACATTTATTAGTTTGGATCCCTGGAGGTAGATGCTGTTTCACTGTTCAAAGGGCTAATCATTTAGTTAAGCTAAGTATACATCTGTGGTTCATGCACCATAATTCAAATAGTACTTGAAAAGTAACCATTTGTGTTTGTGCTGTTGTTGGCATGGGGGAGGGTCATGCAATAGCTCTAATTGGGCCAACTTCTCTGGATAAAAAAAGTTATCCAGGCCTATCTGTTCACAAACAGGCTATAGTGACCTCATCTTGCAGACCTGTTCAAATTTTGCATACTTGATTACACAAGCTAGAAGATCAGGTCAGAGTGGCATCATTACTTACACTTTCAAGCAAGAGTTAAACTGATGTCATTTTCAATACAGATAAGCCCCTTAACTAGTGCATGATCACTCAGGATAGATGTAATGCAGTTTCAGGCTTTCAGTTGGATAGTCCTAAAATAAACTCAAGTACACACCTGTATTACAAAATTTGTATCTACAGCTAATTGATCCATGGATATAAAGCAGCTGGCTGTAGATTTGCAGAGCTTTAGCTATAAAATTTGGATTCACATCCATCCATAACCCCCTAAATTGGTCTCTGGATTTGCAGGGTTCTACCTACAGCAGGAGTTGCAGTGGTTTAAACTATACAGCCACTTAAATAGACCAGCATCACCACATATGTTAGTACACACAGTGCCTAAACTAACTGGCCTGTATTTCACTAACAGTTGAGAAAGATCAGGATGATTACAACTTCCCCAAATATGCTAAATATCTACATTTATTGTGGTACTTTCTGCATCAGACCAAACATGTCCATTTCATAACAGCAATAGATCAAAATCCAAGCCTCTTGGCAAATGCATTTTTGATTCTTGGAAGACTTAACTACTTACATAGAAACAGTAAGGCCTGGTCTATATAACTACATTATTCAAGGGTGTGAAAAACCCACACAACTCAGCCATGCAGTTAAACTGACCTAAACCCCCCCGTGTAGACAGCACAAAGTTGATGGGAGAATTCTCAGTCCACCTAGCTAGCGCCTGTTGAGGAGGTGGAATATCTCTGCCACCAGATGTAGTGTCTTCACTGAAGCACCTCAGTATTTTAAGTTCAGAAGCCCCCACATATCATTGAAAATAAACAAAAGATGATCTAGAGATTTAAGCCAGACAAGCCTAGGGCATTATCATAGCTTAAAACAGGAGTGAGCTTCCCCATAAATTACTAGGTGAACAGAGATAGGAAGGAAAAATGTAGCATAGTGTCTACAATGTTGTAAATTCTGGGCATATATAAGAGGCATAGTCCCTGCCCTCCAAAAAACTCTACAATCTAGATAGCTGTACAAAAGCTGGGGGCTCTCAGTTCCTGAGCTCAAGGATGTGACTGGTTACTTAAACAGGACTATATGACTGAACAGCTCTCTATCCTGAAGTTTCAACTGAAATCCCAACAACTGCCCTGCTCACTATGATCATACGTAAGAGTTTAGGGGTAAAATATTTCCAGCACATTATACCAAATGCATACTTTGTGGAAACACCATTATATTTAGCCAGCTTCCTCTACCCCTACCACAACCTTCCAGGAAAAAGGCTGCTCACTAGGAACTGTGGTTCTGCAAGTATTGCCTCTGCCACACTCCCCCGAGTTACTGTCCCTTGGGGGACTGCTAGGGGACCGAGGCACCAATAGTTGAGATGCTATCAAATGCCATGCAGACCCCAGCCTCCTTAGTACCATTTTCCAAAACCCTGAGTTCTTGAGAGTAGAATTCAGAGGGAGAGGGGCAAGTGTCATGAATCTGAAGAGAGAACATGCTTGCAGAACCACTGCCAAGTTAGGGGACCTAGGTAGCAAAACAGGCCCTAGGAAGATGGTGCTGAGGCATGCTAATGAAAACAAGGATAGGACCAGGGGGGCATTTGTTCATTCCTAAGTGAATGCTACTCACCTGTAATGAGTTCTTCAAGATGAGCCTCTATTTTCACACCTGTGAGATTCAAACCGCCTGTGCCATGAGCCACCAGGATCTTCTGCAGTGCCAGTTGGGGCCACTCCCCCTCTCCTCAAAGCCAAGGGTATAAAAGGCAACACAGGAGGATGGACTGACCTAGAGGGCAATGTAAACAGATGGAGAGGCAGATATGGGAGGCAGGAATGATAAAGTGAAGCACAGGGACAAACAGGAGAGTGGCTACTGAGGAGTATCTATCATAGCTGGCTGAGTGAATCAGATATTCAAGCTGGAAAAGACACAGTAGGTCCCATCTGAACAAGCAGCACCTACAGGAGAATTTATATTTGCTTCACCCAGAGGTTGAGTTTTAATCTGTTTTAAAAGGCATGGCTCAGGGACTGGTTTTTGGAAGGTTCCCAAAAGTTCAGCAATGGTGGAAGGACACATCCCCAAAATGGTGACTTGCAGAAGCCAACTTATTTGTTCTTCAGGCAGAGGGCTCTTCTAGCCCAGATGGGCCAGTCCTGGAGACACTCCACACTCAAACCACGTATTGGAGCAGCACAAGACTTTTACGTGTGAATCTCTCCTTGACATACAGATACATTAACATAGTGGATAGAAATAATGAAGCACAATTTGATTTTGCTCAGGGTTAAGAGCTCAGAGTCAAAGTAAAAATAGGTTTTTACATGCCACCATGGCATTTGCACATATCAAGCAGTACTTTTAGGTAAAAATCCTTCCGGCATTAACTCAGTTTAGTACAAAGTTGATTAGGGTGCATTCATTAATTCTCAGTATGGCAAAATATTTATGAATAAACTGGAACACTAGTTATAAAGAAAGTTGTATCATTAAGCTGGTTAAAGACTTTTCCCCACATAAACACACACACACAAGGTAGAGACATTTTACTTTGCTAACTCTTCTAGAATTGAGGTTTCACACAAAATTTAAGGTACATACAAAATGTGGCAAATCCTGTTTTTTCTGGAAATAAAACACTATTTTTATTGTAGTTAATACCAACTTTACATATTTTTTCCTCTGAACTGCATTTCCCCTGTTTTTAAAAGGCAAAATTTCTTTCCTGGGGCAAAAAGAATAAGGGAACTATCATTTTAAACGGTGTCAATTTTTTTGTGGTTGGACATGTGTTTTTGCTATTACAAAACTATTAAAATGGGAAGGAACAAGTAATATCAAAGACACATACAGTAACTGCACTATTGGCTGGTGGGTTGTGCTAATACAATTGGACAGAACTTTGTAAGTTCTTTTTCTAATAAAGTTTTGGAAATTAAATGAGCAAAGTAAAACATAATATTAATATATCCCACAACAAGAAAATGCAGCATCTGTTTCTTTAATTAGGGATCTAGGAAACTCCATCTCCTTATGCATTCACCAATGAAATTGGACACCATGAAGCTCAATTAGCTTGAGGCATAATAAGTTCATAATGCCCAACATGGCCTTCTTGCTTCAGTTGGTCTAATAAGTCTTCCTTGCGTCTCTTTCTGCTTACCACCAAAAATCTATCATGGCCCTGCCCATGGGATTTACTTTTAAGACCATATTTTTGGGCAATTTGATGTATCTGCTTCCGCTCATCATTGGTAAGTTCTGTAGAAAAAGTCAAGTCAACATGACTATCTGAGCGTGCATAATTTCGAATGATCTGCTCAATATCTCTTTTAGCAATTTTGTTCACCCTTTCCACATCAAGCCCGAGTCCTTCCCTTTTAAATTGCTCCTTCACTGCAATAGGCTCTCGTATCCCTTCGCCATCTTTCCCTAACCCACCACCTGTCCAGCCCATTTTTCTTAAAATCTGATTTCCTATGTTGTCTTCTTTAATCTTCTGTTTGAAAGCCTCTTCTGCTGAGCGGCCCCGAATCTCATTTCTTGAGATGACGTCTTCGATGGTGCCCTTCTTCAGGTTATTGACGACAGTCGGCTGTGTCTTTTTGAGGATTTTCACAGCTTCCTCCGCCGCCTCATGCTTCACAGATTTCTTAATCCCAACTGCTTCAGCGATGAACTCATTTTCTAGCATCACCTTGCATTTCCACCGCATGCCCGTCATCCTTTCGAAGACATACTCCACTGTCATCTTGTTGAACTGAGCAGTGTCGTTCAGCGTGCACACAGGATTCTCAGAGTTCTCATAGATAACAAGATCCTTCAGGTCTTTCTTTTTGCCAGAACTCCGGGATGAACAGCCCACTTTCTGAACCTGGGTTGTTTTGATGGGTGTCACATTGGACTGCATCTTCTGAAGAATTTTCAAAGCCTCATCTGCAGCTGCATGTTTGCTAGTTTTCTTACTGCCGTATCCCTCGGCTAAGCAGTGGTCCTGTAAATAGACCCTACAGCGCCATGAGCGGTTTGACATTAAGTCATATTTGTATTCAACTGACATTTTGTTAAACGAAGCCGAGTTGTTAAGTATCCCTATAGCATCGCTAGCATTTTCTGTGAGGACAAAATTAGTCCAGTGTTTGGTTGAACTACTAGAACCTTGCAAGGGATCAGAACCAGACTGCCCAGATGAAAAATCTTTGTTGGCAGCTAGAAAGTCATCAAGCTGTTTAAGAGCAGGAGGCAATTCCTGCGGGCATGTGCCAGACTCACACACTATTAAGTCCTCTCGATAGGTATGTTTGAACTTCCGCTGAGCAACTTTAACTTCCACAGACTTTTGCAACAGCCTGACTGCTAATTCTGTGGCTCGATCCCTGGATCCATTTTTGCTGCCAGCATAACCAGTGGTTAAGTAGACATTTTGGCATCTCACTTCACAAGCAAAGCCATCTGTTGGAAGCTTCTTATTTTTTGGGAGGTCGGCAGGGGCAATTTCTTTTAGAGGAGCATAAATATATTCAGGATTTGTCTTACATGCCTGAATTGATCGAGTCAACAAATATGTATAGTTAATTTTATCAGTCCCAGTGTTAGCATCTGGGTTAGCAAGATTCTT